AGAGAGAGAGAGAGAGAGAGAGAGAGAGAGAGGGGGGTTGGGGGAAGTCGACGGCAGCCGGCGGAGGTTAAGGCTCGCGCAGGCTGTTTTGGCTTTTTCTTTTTTGTTCTTTTTTGTTTGGTGTGTTGTCATGTTCTCTATACACAACTCCAGCCATGTGGCGCAATCGGACTATTCACTGACTCCTCAGGGGATTGACAGGCTGGGGGGGTGGAGGGGGAGGCGGGGCTAGGGGAAGGTCGGGGTGGAGTAAAGGGTTCCAAGTGTGTGTGTGTGTGTGTCAGAGAGAGAGAGAGAGAGGAGGGTTGGGGGAAGCCAGCGGCAGCCGGGGGAGGTTAAAGGCTCGCGCAGGCTGTTTTGCCTTTTTCTTTTTTGTTCTTTTTTGTTTGGTGTGTTGTCATGTTCTCTATGCACAACTGCAGCCACGTGGCGCAATCGGACTATTCACCGACTCCTCAGGGGATTGACAGGTTGGGGGGGTGGAGGGGGAGGCGGGGCTAGGTGAAGGTTGGGGTGGACTAGAGGGTTCGAAGTTCGAAGTCAAGGGGGGGGGCAGAGAGAGAGAGAGAGAGAGAGAGAGAGAGAGAGAGAGAAGGGGGGAGACTGTGCCAAGCTGTCCATTATGTGACTGTGACACGTGCTACTTCGTTTCTTCTTTGCCTTTGCCTTCCAGGAAATGTTCCAAGATGCACGCCCAGCATTATGGCTCTCATGTCAATGCTACTCCCGACAAGTCCCCCACCCGAAGGGGAACTGCCAAGCAGATTGAATGCTGATTGTTTCGTTCATACAATTCAAAACTTGCTTAACATCAGTGGCACTCCTATAGTTGGAGGCGCTGCTTTCCAACGACTTCCCCGGGCCAATCGTCAATGACATCATCCGAGCCCACCAAACTGACACTCACCCACACACGCTTGCACTTGCACACACAGCGCCCAAACTCAACAAGTAAGCACGGGGCATACATGCAAGATAGCTTGATCACAAACATATTCAGAGAACACAGCAAACAAAGTCTGATTCTGAATCTTTACCAAAAACATCAACGGGACAACGGACTGGATTTTCTCATAAAATTCCAGAGTTCTTGCACAACACAAAACAAAAATGATGTTGCAAAGATTGTGGTATGTAAAACCACGATTTCGAAAACTTGAAGTCCAAAGATCCAATTTAAAATTCCCCCTTATATATGTTTTCATTACATATGTTTTTATTAGATTTTTTTTTTTTTCAAAAGATTGTATTATAATCTAGTATTCAAAAACTTGATGTATAAATGGATAAAATTTTTTCATCAAAATACATAAAAATACAATTATTTATTTCTTATTTTATAAATCACTAATCACTTCTCAAGTTAGCATTCTATTAAATGAATTATTCTTTGTGAAGATCTTGTTTACTCTCTAACACACCCAAACAAAACACGCAAAGATAAAGCAAAAAAAATTGTTCAGTGGTATTCCCTGCTATTTTCTTGCACGCGGGGTTTCGTCTGCTCTCAGGCTCTTCTTTTTCTTTTTGTGAAAGAAGTGGCATATGATAGGGCAGTTCCTTGTGCGTTTTCTTTCTTTTGTGCTTTTTTCTTTTTCTGTTTTTGCGGGCGTAGCCGCAATGGGTCATCTAGTCTTTGTTATCATCATAATGTCTATACGGAGTGCCAGAATCCTTGTCCAACTGATTTTGTCGTGGATGATGTTGGAATGCATTGCATTGTCCTTGTCTCCACTTTGCTCTCAAAAAATCATGAATGTGAAAGGCTGGTGGAGTTTTCCTGTTATAATTCCTGGTCCCAGACCTTTGAGCTAAGGCTTTTGTGATTGTGTTTTGTGTTGAATATCGGTGGCAGGCCATTTGTTCCCTGTGAATGAGCGGTCCGTGAGAAGCACACGTGACCTTTATGTTCTCAATGAGCGGGTGAGTTTTCTTCTTCTTGCTTTGCCTGTTCTTAACCATCACTATGAGACTCTGTCACCCTATTGTGGACAGCATCAACAACATATTACTAAAGCTTAGTCTGCCTGGTCGTGATGTTGTGCGCCAGGCCGACTCTTTTCTTTGATGTTTTTACCATAGGATCTTGATCTTTGTGGCTGCTGTTGCTGGAACCCGAATTCATTTGTGAGCTTTACTTTTGCGTCATGTCAGCTTTTTTGGGTTCTGTGGTGTTGACGCGTGTGTGCTCTCTTTGCTCGTGGTTTGTCTTTGTGTAGTGTTGCCGTGGTCGATTTCTCCACCATCCAGCGAGTTGGGCATGATTTGCGGTGTGTACTGTTTGTATATTGGCGGGGCACTGTAGGTGCGCTCGAAAACAAAACAAGAGACAACATGGAGACTACGCTGAAGTAGTCCCGCGAACCGCCAAGATGGACGTGGTTGTATCGTCTCTTCACTGCTCTGGCCGGTTGCGCCAGCCGTACTTCCTGTGGTTCCTTACGACATGATAGGTTCCCGTGGGGCACAGCTTACCTTTCCGACGGGGCTGTCACCACCC